TTTAGGACTTAACGGTCAGCAGTGATGGCAACATGAACGGTGTTGGGGGAGGGACGACAATGAACAAAAAAAGGGAAGTAGAGGGACGACATTTTGGCTCTTTGGTAGAGTAGAGGGACGACAACGAACATGCCCTTAGTAGAGGGACAAGAATGAATAAAATATTAAAGTAGAGGGATGACAATTGGCTTTAAACCCTTAAAGATGCATATTCAAAAAAAAAAAAAAAACTCTTTGATAAATAATTAAAGACGATGCGCAATGAACAAAATGGCATCATCTTATCTTATTTGGTCCAAAATGGCAGCACATATTTGTCTCCGATTCCTTATTAATTACTAACCAAAAGAGTTTTTCAACTATAATGCAATAAATGAAAATGGTTCACATTAAATTTTCACAAGATATGCGCGTAATTTTTTGTGAGTCTTTTTACTAAATATTATATGTAATAAATCAATATAGATATACTTTTTTAATAATCAAATATTATTAATATCTAGTTATTGTAAGTGATTCTCCATATATATATATATATATATATATTTTTTGTACATATTTTTCATAAGAAATAGTATCTATCCACCTTACCTCATAAAAATTAGAAGGAAAATTATTCCAAAACTACGTTGTTTTAATAAATCTTCATTAAAAAATACTAAAATATTTTATTTTTAAAGTATAAATTAGAGTATTTTTTGTCATTTCTTATAATATTTTATTAAAATTATGTAGTTTTGAAATAATCTTTAAGAGATAAAACAGATAAACACCAATTTCTTTTTCATATATATATAAACAATGATAGTTTGTCAATGGAGTTAAATAATTTAACGACTAGTAGCTAGCATAAAATAAGAATCTTAACAATATATATATGTTCCATTTGAGGGAAATAAAAAAAAGCAGAGAATTTCATAACAAATTAGATTGTAATATTTAAAGATATTATTATTTAATTGATCAAAAATTTTATTTTTTTCACATTTTTTTTGAACTATACATACTATTAAGGAAAATGCATATATATAAAGTAAATATCTAAAATGAAAATTTTGTGCATAAAATGTGAATGCGATTGCCTGAAGACCTTATATATATATATATATAGTAAATTTAGGGGGAATGCATATGGTTAATAAAACAAATTAAAATTCTTCAAATATGAGGGCTGTCCAAATTACCTGAACTAATAATCATTGTGGAGGTATTTAAGTTTATTTTTAAGAAAAGAAAATTCATTTATCATATAAAAATTTGATACTTATTAATTTAAAATTTATTATTTAAAATTTAGGTCAAAATTGAAATTTTTGTATCATCAAATAACTAATCTCTCTTATGTTAAAAAACACACACACACATTGATAAAAAAAAAAAAAAAGTGCGTGCAATATTGAACTCTTAATAAACTACTTTTAATGAAGATATCAAAATTGATACAAAATATTAATTAATTCAAAATGAAGTTTTACAATAAATACATATATCAAGCAAGTGAATACTGAATA